TTGGGCTCCAGGTAAATCTGCCTCCTCCTCTGCCTACCTCCTTTGAAATTTTGTTCTACAAGAAAAGTCAGGCTAGGACACTCAAGACTTGCAGATCAGAGCACAGTGCCCACATCCTCAAGTGACTCTGTGGAGTCATCTGTTATATGATGATTTACTCTTTTGGTTCTTTTTTTTTCTTTTTTTTTCTTTTTTTCTTTTTTTTTTTTTTTTTTTTTTTTTGGTGGGATGGGTTTCTAGACAGAGTTTCTCTGTGTAGCCTTAGCTGTCTTGGAACCCACTCTGTAAACCAGGCTGGCCACAAACTCACAGAGATCTGCCTGCCTCTGCCTCCCAAGTGCTGGGTATATAGGTGTGTGCTTTTTGAGGGGCCCGCCACCCACCTCCCAGATAAACCACACATGAAATCCTATTATTATTTATGAATGCCCCGCATTAGTTTGGCTTGTCTCTTGTCAGCTTTTCTTAACTTAAATTATCCCGTCTAGCTTTGGCCTTGGGACCTGTATACTTTTCCTTTCCTTCTTACTCCATGACTGCATGTGTAGCTAGGAGACTGGGTAGCTGGCCCCTGAATCCTCCTCCTTTTCTCTCAGTCCCAGAGCTCTCCTCCCAGATTTCTCCCCATATGTCTCCTCTCAGCCTGCCAGCCCCTCCTATTCCTCTCTCCTGCCTCACTGTTGGCCATTCAGGGCTTCATTAGATCATCAAGTGTTTTAGACAGACATAGTAAAACAGCTTCACAGAGTTAAACAAACGCAACATAAACTAAAGTAACACACCTTAAAATAATATTCCTGAGCAGCCCTTCCTCCTCCTCCCACAGCCTCTGCCGTGTTTGTGGAGCAGATGCCAGGTTCAAGCCACTCTGCTACAGCTCGACCTAAACCCTGTCTTCTGTCATTGCGTACAGCCTCCAACAAGCGGCGTGTACAAGCAGCTATTCTAAGAACTGTGGGGCGACATCATCTCACAATTCAAAAATCCCAAAGAAGACATGGGTGGTGGGATTTTCCTGGGAAACTGAAAGAAGGAAACGCCTGAATCTGGTTGCCCAGAGGCCAGACCAGAACTGGGCTAGAACTAACACTGCCTTTCCAATGGAAAGCACAAGTGACAACCAATCCATACAGGATTCTTTTTTCTTTTTATTAGTGTGTGTGTGTGTGTGTGTGTGTGTGTGTGTGGTGTGTGTGTGTCTGTGTGTGTGTGTGTGTGTGTGTGTGTGTGTGTGTGTGTGGAAATCAACGGGCAACTTTTGGGAGTCAGTAGTCAGTTCTCTCCTTCCACTGGGAGTTCTGAGGATCACACTGAGGCCATCAAGCGTGTGTGGCAAATGTTTTTATCCATAAGCCCAAGCACACTTCTCAGGGTTTCTTCTTGGCTCATTCTATCATCTGTCCAAAAGAAGGAGCCAGGAACCCTGTGCCCCAGGAAGTGGGCACTAGACTAGCTTTAGGCTTTGGGAGAAATTCAGTGAACATTGCCAGCATGGGACTCTTAACATTATTCCCCACAGCCCACGATTGAGGCTAAAATACTCAAGATGATATAAAAAAGTGTAAGACATTGAGAGCCGAAGCTATGAAAGCAAGATGTCTTACTGGCAGTTCACTTTCTGCTCAGAGAGCAACAGAGTTTATGGCTGATCCTTAAATAAAGATCAAATCAAGGCTAACAGATTGAAATCTTAGTATGCTATGCATGCATAGTGTTTGGCCCCAAGTCTAGTATTTCCCCTTAAAGTTTGTTTATATGACATCTCAAACCTCATCCAGAACTACCTGCACTCAACAAGACGAACATCAGGAATAAACATCTCCAGAAGTAAAGCCACCCCCCCCCACACACATATCCAGAGCAAGGACAGTACAAATGCTGAGTCCCCAAGATGGTATCCAGATGTCCTATCCCAGCCAGCAGTCAGGGCTCTGTTCCCTTTGGCAGCTGTTCTCCTCTGCAACCTTACCCATCACTCCTCCACCCACCCTCTGCTCCAAGTAGACTGCTATTTCCTCTCTCTTCTCCACCTCACGTGCCCAGCCAGGTCTCTCTGGGTCCTTGTGGCCGAAGTCAGCTCCAACAATAACAACTGACCATACTCCCCCTTCTACATGTTAAATTCCTTCCTAGCTCCAAGGTTTGGCTCAAACTCCATGCCTTTCAAGTGCAGGGCATTTCTCCTATAATACTGCAGAAAGAAGTGCCATTGTCACCTTCCCGTCTCCACTGCTCTCTTAAGTGTATGGTGCCTCTGTCTCTGTCTCTCTGTCGCTCTCTGTCTCTCTCTGTCTGTCTCTCTCTCTCTCTGTCTCTCTCTGTCTCTGTCTCTGTCTCTGTCTCTCTCTCTCTATTTCCTTTTTGCCAATGAATAGCGTATCTGGCATTGTCTCTTATTTACATAGCTCAATGACTTTCACTTCCAACCACTTTCACAATTCCTCAAACATCACAGACCCTCAATAAACGTTTGTTCCCATTTTGCTAAGTAAAAATGTCATCCAAAGTTCTTGACTCTCAGCAACAACGGAGCTCGCTGACCTCCAGCCCCCAGTTCTTTGCCTGTGCTGCTGACACCCATCCTGAGCTGATGCTTTCCGAGCATGGCTAGAGCTCTGTGTAGCCAGAAATGCCTAAGTCAATCTGGGAGTTCCCTCTTCCACTCCCGGTGACTCCCCTCACTCTGGGGGCACACTTATGATAGCTGTGGACCCTCTAATTAGTTACTTCTCCCAATCCCACCTTTTCTAAAATAACCCTGACAGATCTTCGTCCCCATAATCACAGCATTTCATTTATTTCAGTCACAACTTACTCAGTAGCCAGCAGATGGCTCCCATGTTTGTTTCTGTTCAACCTTCAACAACTGCCACCCCCAACACCCTAAGCAGTGCTGTCTTCATGCCCTAGAACATATGTCCTCCTGGATACGGGGGCCCACTGTCTCCCATCACAGATGAATGAATCGGAAACAGACCATACCTAGGTCTCTGTAATGGGAAAAAGCTTCTAAGTCATGGAGTTGAGAATTCAAGGAGAAATTACTGTTGGCAGAGCTCTCAACAAGAGATGATGCAACTGTTTTAGTCTGTTTAGAGCTTAACAGGGATCAGTTAGTTTCCTGTTTCCTGTTTGATGACCAAAAGGTCAGCATCCATACTGAAACATGCAGGAAAAAGAGTTGTCAGTGGGTCATCCAGAGCTCAAGGCTTTTTGACAGTCCCGCATAGTGAGTTCTGACACAGGAAGTTAACTTTTGCCTTGGGCAGTTAAATTCCCTGAGTTCTGCTGCCTTCTGTGGTTAAAGCATGGGTTTCACAGCACAGAGCCTGGTCCCTAGTGGACATTAGAGCTCCCAGGGAGACACTGCCAATTGCTACAGAACATGAGTGTTTGAGATGCTTGTATAATGTAGCTATAACTGGCCAACTTGTCTTCCTCTCCCTACCTCTGTCTGCTCACTTTCTCCCCATGTTCCCATCTTCTACTCTGCCCTTTCTTCCATTCTGATTTTCCCACGGTCTCTCTGCACTATCTTCCCCCACTCAATAGCTCTCCTGTTGTCTCTGGAAGCTCAAAAGAATTTGCACTGATAACAAAAAGGGCTTGAATCTGAAGGAAGCAACGTTCTTCAGATAACTCCCAGGTGCAGCACTGTGAAAGTGATGGGGAGGGGGCGACAAGGACAAACCAAGCCTGGTGTCACAGGGCTGTATTTAGCATATGATCTCCATATCGAAAGAATGGCTTCTGGAAATAGTTATTTCAGATGGGTGGTGGAGGAAGCGAGACCACAATGATAGCTTCTGAAAGGTAGGGAATGATTCATAGATAAATAATGCTTGAAATCTAATGGGTCGGGGAAAACCTGCAATAACTTCTGAACAGTGGCTTAGCATAGCTATGAATTATTCATTCTGAGACATTCACCGTGAAGGCTCTGGCTGAGAGTTTGTCAAAGGAAGGAAGAAAAGAAAGGAGAACAGGATGGAGACTGATAAGGCAATCCGGGGAAAGAATTCATTAAACTATGACATCACCACAAGGAGGGTAAGGAATAGTGAGGTGTTCCCTTGATCAGAAACAGAAAATTGTACACAGTCAAGAATCCCTGCAACAGAAGAAATCTCCCTAGAAGAAAAAAACACTGGAATTTCCCTGTACCCAAGAATCATCCTCCTCCACAGTCCTACATGATGTGCTCAGTCACATACTCAACAATATTCTAGAAACCCTACGGTATATGGGTAAGTTTAAGGCAAGTCAGGGATTCCCACTGAACAGCCTCCATGTGACATGTGAAGAGACAGGCACGAAGGAGACGGTACTTCTTAGCTCAGGGAGCTCCAAGACACGAAGGTCTCAGAATCAGGACTGTCACACAGTGAGTCTTCACTGCACGGCCTCTGTGGGCCAGCCCTTGTGCAAAGACCTAAAGATACAGGCATGAAACAGACATGATTTGGTACCACTGAGCTCTATGCTAGAATGGTCTCAGAGCCATGAAGCTGCCATAGTGCTAGGTTCACTGGTGAGATCTGACCTGCCCAAAGGGTGAGGTGAGAAGACTCATAGAGACCAGATGTTACCTCCGGTGGACCTCCTTGACCTGTGGGGAAACTCTACACTGTAGCATGCTTCTCTTTTTGTCTCGAGTCCTGATTCAGTGTGAAGATCTTTCCTGTCTCTGGGGTAGGCATTACAGCTATCTATTCCTCTAAAACTGTATTACACATTTCTGCTCTAGATCCCAGTTTTGGCAGATCTAAGTATTGTTTTCCTATAAATCATTTCAAATTACCATTGAAAGAAAGCAAACTCTAAAAGATGATGAGATTGTAATATTAGAAAACATACCCAGGAATCTAACATTCCCATGAGTACTGGGATGGGCAAGTCCAGCATTAGCCAAGATACATGTGTTTCGATGTGAGTCACACCCGGACGGCCACTACTTCCAATATCATGTGGCAACAGAGCTACAGTGACTGACTACTTACGTCAATGGGTGCAGAACATTCTCTGTGGGACAGAACCCTCCAAAACAGAAGGCTCCTGCTCCTCTTCAATTACTCCAGCTTCTTTAAAAGAACTCAAGCAACAAGCCTCAGAACTTTCTGGAACATCGAATGTCAGGCCACTTATAGATGTCTCTTGATGAAAAGGGAGGAAAGAAAAGCAATGTTTTGTTACAAAGTTTTATTTCATTCAGATTTTGTCCCTTCTTAGTATCCCCATCCACAGTACACACCAAAGCTTTCAAGCATTCAAGGCTCCCTGATGGGACCAGACACTTCCAGAGAACCTCAAAGGAGTTTCATTTCTATCTCCTGATACTGATTAATTGATAAATTAAAACAGAACATTTTAAATTTACTATGTATTCCTTGATGACAATCCTACTCACATAAATATTAATTGCTGTGAAAAATAAATTTTCTCAGAAAATTTTGTGAGAGGAACAACATCATTTTACATGTTTTGAGATCCCAAACATCTGGCTTCACCAAAAACAGCTGGATTATCATATCTGCTTCTGGATTCAATCTGTTGCAGTGTCACATGTCAGTAGGCCTCTGGAAAGCTCCTCCATGTACTCACAGGAGAATGAGAGGAAGAAAGCAAAAGACTCTTGGCACCATTGTAAAAATAACTGTCACGTGAATCAGCCAATGAGCCCCGAGGACTGGAAGGAATCCCATACGGCAGCCCATGTGATAAAAACAAAAAACCCCACATGTACCTCAGATTATCATCCCCTGCCTTAGATGCAACTGTTTATCTGTTTGAAATAGTTGTCTAGGGATACTCCACATACAAGTAGATTTCATATATATACATATATATGTATGCTTGCTATGAATGTTTAGATTTAAGTTTATAAGTTCAAGTGACAGCAAACTGCATTTCACTTGGTTCCTCTGTTTGCAAGTTGGGGCAAATTCTAAATCAGTCTCATTTGCAGTTGTCCCACTAAATGAATATGACCACACACACACACACACACACACACACACACACACACACATACACACGCACATGTCTGTGTGCAAATAGATACACACATATATGAATCCTATGTGGTGTCTCTGGTTTGGGTGAGTTACAAAATGACTACGTAAGCATGTTTCCTGATAGGCACAGAGTAGATATACCAAGTAAGAAAAAGTGTCATGTAGCTGAAAACAGTTCTCCTCATCTTCTGGTTTCCTAACAAAGCACACAGCTGAAATCTTCCAACTCTGAGAAACAGCTTAACTTTGCCTTAGATCCCTGTCATTCCACAGCAGGGCTTATTACTAGGGAAGCATGTCTCAGGATCAGAGGCCAAGTGAACAGGGCTATTTACTAACAGCAGCCTCTCTTGAGACATCCTTTCCCATCAGCATCATGTTGACATGAGGAGAAAGCAGGGTCCTACATCTGAAAGCTCTTCCTCTGCAATACTGACATGGCAAATGAGTATCCTCTTGGCTTACAACTTTCCTGATACAGAAACTAAGAAAGAACCCAACTCCTACAGTGAACTGGGTATACATTGAATCCCTTAGATGTAAAACTCTGCCCACATCAGCAGTGGCAGAGATGGAGATATACAGTACCATTCTGTCTTAGTTCTATTGCTGCAATGAAACACCCTAACACAAAGCAAGTTGTGGAGGAAAGGATTTATTGGCTTACACTTCCAGATCATCACTGGAGGAAGTCATAACAGGAACTCAAGCAGGCCTGGATCCTGGAGGCAGGAGCTGACTTAAACACCATGGAGGGAGCTGCTTACTGGCTTGCTTCCCATGACTTACTCAGCCTGCGTTCTTATAGAACCCAGGACCACCATCCCAGGGATGGTACCACTCAACAACAGCTGGGTCCTCTCCATTGATCACTGAGAAAATGCCTTACAGCTGGATCTCAAGGAGGCATTTCCTCAGCTGAGACTCCTTCCTCTCTGATGACTCTAGCTTGTGTCAAGTCGACACACAAACCAGACAGTACAGACTCCACAAAGTAGTCCTGTGACCTCTACATATGTAGTGTGCCAAAAAGGCATGGCATGTAAACACCACACACACACACACACACACACACACACACACACACTCACTCACACACTCACACACTCACACAATAATAATAATGACAAATAATTGAAAAACCACTACAAAACTAGCAACAGGAGAGGGGAGGGAAGAAGTCTGAGAATCCTGAGCTCCTTGCCTGCCTGAGATCAGGAACACATTTTTTTTAACTGGGAAAACCAAAGGAAGGCTTTGTTCATAAAGAATGGCTGAACGTAAAGACTTTGGCTTCCTATGGAGAGAAAGAGATACATATTGCCTGTAGAGAGGCAGAAAAGTGAGCCTGTCATTCAGGTGAGTGTGGTGCTGTCCATACATGGATTAATCAACCCCCTAGGACAGGAACACACACTGATGTGGATGAGAAGACTAAGGAGGAAAGAAACTGAAGACATTCTTGGGGTCCATTTGCCCTGGGTAAGCAGGGGGGAGAATACTCATGTGTTCTCTGACACAACCTAGTTTCCTTATTTTTGCAGATGAATCCCAAACCCAGAAGGCTAATTCATCCAGCATCTCAGAACATTTCAGAGAGTGAGCAACTGGAAACAGAATTGTCTTAGCATCTACAATACTCTGAGAGAAGCCTGAGAAGAGTCTCAGACTCACTTTGTCTCTGCTGTAACAGTCAGCAGTGTGGAGCCCAATCATATCATCAGCTCTGGGACTCAAACCTCATCTTGTTCATCACCACGTCACTGTCCCACTACCTCCCCTTTCTGTTCCCACTACCAGTTATTAAAGAGCAGAAAATCGCAGATTACTTCCTTCTTCTGCACATACACATGATCTCAGACATCTGGACTTGAGAGGACTTTAATAATTCATCTAATATTAAAGAAAAGACCTACAGAAACTGGGAGTGGGAGGTTGAGAGGAGCCCAGTGACTCGCCCCAGATGGTCAGTTAGTAGATTCCAGAGCCAAACCCATTCTGTTGTTTCTTTCCTTTACACTACAAACTACTAATGTAAGAAGTTGTCTTGGGGTTTCTATTGCTCTGAAGAGGCACCATGACCACAGCAACTTTTATAAAGGAAAACATTTAATTTGGGTGGCTTGCAGTTTTAGAGGTTTAGTCCATTATCATCATGGTGAGGCATGGTGGTATGCCAGCAGACATGGTGCCGGAGACAGAGCTGAAAATGAGTCCTACATCTTGACTTGCAGGCAACAGGAAGTAGTCTGCCTCACTGGGTGTAGCTTGACCAAAGGAGACCTCAAAGCCTGTCCCCACAGTGACACATGTCTTCCTACAATACAAAGTCACACCTACTCCAACAAAGCCACACCTCCTAATAGTGCCACTACATTTGGGGACCATTTTCTTTCAAACTACCACAGAGCCTTATATCTTAGATGTACTCTCCAGTGCCTAATTTTCCACACATGCAATGTGCATTCCTTTTCTCTTGAGGTGTTCCTTCCCAAAAGAGCTCGAAGTTCATTAATCTTGTGAAGTGCTACAATCTACCCTCTCGATGATGAGTAACACTCTGTTGTGGAGGGGTTCAGGTACACTGTAATGGTTTCTTCTTGTGTGCATGTTCACGTGTGTATAGGTGCCTGGAGAGGTCAGAGGTCAGAATCAGTTGTCTTACTTAATCATTCCCCACCCTATTTTCTGAGATAAGAGTCATTGACTCTGGAACTCACTGATTTGGCTAGACTAGCTGACCAGCAAGCTCCAAGGCATCTGTCTCTGCCTCCCCAGTGCTGAGATTATAGGTATCTGTCACCATGACTGTATTTTTACAGTTAGGGCTCCAAACTCAGGTCTTCATGCTTGCACATCAGTACTTTACCAGCTAAGCCATCTCCCCAGGCCCGTGGTAACACTTTTGTTACCATATATAAAGAAAGAAACCTATCTAATCCTCTGGTAGTTTCCAAATTCACTTGACCACAGGACTCTATCTTTACCCCACTGCTTCATTTTTGACTAACATGTCTCAAGCTCCCAAAGGTGATGCTTTGGAAAACACAATCTAAGTCTCATTCATAAGAATTCCTTTTTACATCCCAAGCAAAACATTCCCATGGAGTGGTCTTCTTGGTGGGGATCTAGTAGGGAAGCCAGAGACACAAAGGAAGAGAAACAATAGTCGTCATCTGTTCCACAGCCATGTGCCCTGCCAGCAGCTAAGCGTGAGATGGCCACACACACTGTCATCTGGAACTCGGGTCCCAAGCTAAAGACACTCAACTCCAACTGCAGTCTCTCATATACTCAACATCAGCTAATGTCAGTTTCCTTCTACTTCTGTTCTCTGTTAGAGACACTGCCGTGCCAGGTCTTTCCACATCTGCTGGAGCCTCTTACCACCCTGATGTAAAACCTCTGGACTTACAGTCATGCCTGCACCTCTAAAAGATGCATTCTAATTCCCTATCTGACTCCTTCTCCCCCTCCAGTGCCCCTTACAAGATGTCGTCCTGTTAACTTAACCTTCCTAAGACAACATCGCATTTGCTTTCGGAGAAATAAAATGTTCAAAACTCAACAACAACCAAGGTCCCTCACTGTGCACCACAACACAATCTGTGCTCCCCCAGCAAGTTCCGCATCACCCGGGGCTCATCCTGCACTGCCACCCCCATCACCCATGCAGTGTAACTGTTGAGCTCTGCATTGCTGCTGTTTCTGCCTCTCAGATGTCTTCTGGTTCTTACCTTCCAGCCTCCACCACCAGTGCCGAGGTCGAACAAGCACCCGGCCCACCCCTCCTCTCACAGATACTCGACACTTGCACAGCTTGCTCTTTGACTGATTCTTGCTTTTCCTGCCTGGTAGTAAGCATGGGAAGGGAAAACATCAGGCATTGTCAAGTGTACTTAGAAAGTATTCAGAAATCTCTCTTGGTGGCTAGAAGAATCCATATTCATCCCACGGCTGTAAGTTAAGCAGACAAGTTTAAGTCTACAAAAACTAGGAAAAAGACCCTCTTTCAGGGACCGAGGGGCATTTAGAATAGATCTTTCTCGCTAAATTGACCTTGGATTTTGAAAATAGTGAAACAACATATTCTACCTCATCTTAATAGACCCAGAGTTGAGCTTTCTGCCATGGACAGA